AAAAATCACTAATTCTAATAAGGTTCATTTCATCAGTTTTCTTTCTTTTGCGGATAATGATTTTGGTGTCTAATTGAAGAAACCTTTGCCTAATCCAAAATACAGAAGAAATTTTTATGTTTTCTTTTAGACAATTTCTTGTATTGCCTTTCAAATTTATATCTGTAATCCATCCAGAAATAATTTTTTGTATGTGGATTACAGTAAGAGTTAAGATTCATTCTTTAGAATTTCTTTTGGTGAAGATCTACTGATAGGAAACTCCATTTTAGTTTATCTTTGAAAATACATTTTTGAAGAGAGTGGTAAGCTGACGATTATTTTTCTTTTAGCCGCATGGATATTATTATACTGTCTCCTGGCTTCAGTTATTTCTGCTGTGGACATCAGCTTAACAGTTGGCCCTCCTTTGAAAGTAATCTGTGTTCTTTTCCTCTGGTTGTCTCCTCTTCGTTTTTGTTCTGTATCAACATCTGTGTGTTTATTTGATTTTCCCTCACTTGCTCAAGATTCTTGGGCTCCTTGTATTGTCTTTTATCAGTTCTGAAAATTTCTCACCTGTTGTATTTTCAAATATCCTCTACCTCATTCTTCTATAATTCCAATAACGTATTAAATCTGCTGTGGCATCCGCCATGTCTCATGAACTTATTTTCCAATTCTTTTGTTCTCTCAGTGTTGCCTTCAGGTCATTTCTTCCAAATTATGACCAGATTTGGAAAAGAACCAAAATAGATCATCTAGAAATGAAAACTACAACAGCTGAATTTAAGTTAAATCCAACATACAGGTTTAACCAAAGTGTAGACAAAGCTAAGGAGAGACTTTTAAAAACTGGAATATATGTGAAGAAAATAGTCTTTTCTATCAAAGTGTGTTACCATCTTAGCTGCTTGCGGTTCTGGTTTCTCTGTTCACTAAGCTGTTTTGGCTCGGAAATTGCTACCTACCCCACCCCCAAAATCCAAATGTGGCATTAACCAGTCATGAGCAGATTGTGCACCCAAACTCAGTCAATCTGAGTAAAGGAGGCAGGGCCCCACTGCATCAGGAATTAAAATGCGGACCTGTGGTCTACTTTGCATGCTCGTTGTGCCTGTGTGCCTGTGCACCCTTCTGCAGAAGTTAAGTTTTGCCTTGCCAAGACAATTGTTTCTGTGTCTTCAATTGTGACCCCAGCAGTCTTCAGGGCTCTTATTTCTAACATAGGTCAAGCATTCGCCTCTGCTGGGTACTTAAAGGCAGTGCCAGTTCTGGGCCATATAAGCTAAATCCTTAACTTAAAAGGTGTTGGGCCAGTGTGATACAGGCTGCAAAACTCTGTAGAGCTCACTGATGGGAAGTTGTAAGTTAACAGGGGTCGGTTTCCCTGCCTGCATTCAAAACAGTTTTCCTCAGCCTCTTTGGTAGGGTTTGGAATGAGCATTTTATTTCAAGCCCATCGCTACACTGAGGGATGGTTCTTTGAGATTTCAGCTTTATGGACTGTGTCTCCTATTTGATCCTTTTCTGAGAAGGCTCTGGACTTTTCATCCTCCTGTGGACTGAAAATGGAAGCTCATGTTCTCTGCCCTCGGGTCAAAAGCTGACTTCAGAGCTTCCCTGTCTTCTCTGTGTTTCTGTGAAGCTCATACAACTTTTTTGGTTGTTTTCAGCAAGCATGCACTTAAGTCTTTCATGGTCCAGAAATGGGCAGGTGCACAGCGTGCATTCCTGTGCCCTCATACAGTTTACTCAGCTTTGTTGTTGAAGTGTCCAAGTGTCCTGGTTAAGATACTTGTAGGATTTTTTGGCAGCCCCTCACCTTCCTCACAGTATCTTGACTTCCTTTTTGAGAACAAAGATAGAAATTATGTTAACATGATCTAAATTGGCCTGTGGGTGCTTGCCTTTAGAAACTAATTTTAACTCAAACTTTGGGTTTTTTTTTTCCCATATAAGTTTGCATACCGGTTGAATTTCACAATGAACTGGCTCTTTGGTGGTGTTAGTATGTCTGTGTTCCTGTGAGAAGGGTGCTTACCGTCAGCCTGCTTCATGGGTCCTGAGAACTGTGACTCCCTGTGGGCAAAGAGCTGTTTTTCATTGGGCATAATTCACTGTTCCAGCCCCTCAGGTGGAGAAAAATCATGATGCACTTTTAATCCTGAGAAAACTGAGGTTTAATAGGTGAATAACTTGTTTAAGCACCTTTGGCTGGCAGCTGGAGACTAGGACTCAACTCCAGGAGTTTAGCCCTCAACTCCTCACTGTTGCCTCATTGGCCTCCATAAGGAACACAGCACACATTTATGTGTGGGTGCAAAAATTGTGCCATGAGTGATCTGCCTGGTGTCTACTTGGCTCATCTGTCTGTACATCTGGCGCTCCAATACAGTTCTGTTCCTGAAAGGTGAGGTGAGAGGTGATGGTCGGGCCTCACAGGTAGCATGAGGACCTACCCACCTGCTGCTCACCTGACAGAGCTACATAAGAGCTGGGACCAGAACATCAGAGTATCAGAATGACAGGCCAGGGGTGATCGGAGCACAGTTGTCACTCACAGGGGCTCTCCTAGGTGAGAGGCACAGTTACGTGGCGTGAGTGAGCACATGAAAGTTTGATGTGTGAGTAGAGGGCATCCAGGTGAGGTGGACTTTTAGGACAGGCAGGAGCTCATACACAGCCCCTCACCATGCAGAGCTTCTCACACGTGATTATCCAGCTTTTCTGGGCATGCAGTTTCTGATTCTGAAGGTGAGGCTGGGTTCTGAGAATACATGTTTTGTTTCCCAGGGACAGTGCTGCGGCTGGCCTGGCACTGAGAACCACCGCTCCGGAGGAGCTACCCTATGAGTTAAGGGTGGCACCACTGCTGGCCAAATGACTCATCCCCAAGGCACAGACCTAATTACATGCTGTTTTTTTTAGTTAAGGTAGGTGAAACTTCCACAAATAACTTGACAAGGAAACGAAGAATGCCATTGGACTGAAAGACCTAAAAGTCATTTACCCAAACCTTAGGCATCCTCACAGGTGTCCATGTGTGCTCCACAAACATCTGAGTACCTGTCAGTGCCGTCCACCCCACCAGGCACTAGAGGAGTGGCCTGGCCTCTGTCCATCACTGTGGCTACCAGTTCAAACTCCAGCTAGATTCATAGCTCCTGGGGCACCAGCTACATTTCAGCACACACTGCCACAGGGAGTGGCCTGGCCTCTGTCCATCACTGTGGCTACCAGTTCAAACTCCAGCTAGATTCATAGCTCCTGGGGCACCAGCTACATTTCAGCACACACTGCCACAGCTGCAGAGCACCTGTCACGCTGGAAGCTTCCTATTGAGCAGTGCTGGTCCTGTGGAACATCAGACACCGGACATCATTCAAATGAGCAGTGTCTCTAATTCCCAGTGCCACCAAAAAAAAAAAAAAAAAGTGCAGGGTTAGCTCAGTGAGAGCCGTAGTGAAGACCTCACCCAGCCTGGGCCACTAGAGAAGCAAGGACCTCAGCTTCCTGTTTAGGTGCTTCAGTTCTTTCCCATCAGTTTCCCAAGTTCTTGTGTGCCCCTCAGTCTTCCCCACCTCAGTGCTCTTAAATGTGACTCATTATAACAAAGTACCCCATCTGACCTGCCTCCAGCAGAATGCACTGCAGGAAATTGTAGCAAGTGTTGCCCAAGCTCGTCTACCCACAACGTGCCTGCCAGCCCACAGATGAGAGATTCTGACCAGTCCTACAGTGAAGGGGTCTTTGAGCTTGTTTACCTAGGTGTCCCCAACTTATATTACCAACACCACAGTGCCAGTGACATCACTTGGGAGGCAGTTTTGAGGAAGGCAGAAATAGAACACTGGTCCTGTGTAGCCTTTTCTAGTCTTTAATTACGCATTAGAAAAGCCCTTTGTTGGTTGTCCAGTGGCAGACAGAAGTTCCTTGCCATGTCCCTGTTGGAAACTGGTAGTGGTCCCTTCAATCCCCTCCTCCTCCCTAGCCTAGGTTTACAGTCACACAGCACAGGAGGCAAGGGGAGGGGAGCAACATGGTCTTTTATTGATGCAAGTACATCCAGTCACTCCAAAAGACACCCTGCAGTACGTACAGCTTTACACTCAGAGGTCATCGCCAAATACCAGAACAGCAAACTCAGGGTGCGTATCAAGTTGGGAAAAGTAGCAAACACAGACACTGTCAAGTAGGTACTAGAACTGGTGATCCGTGAGGCACGCATGGACTGAAGGCTCTTTAACACACATACAGAAAATGTTCTAACATTGTATTCCAAATATATACTCTCAAGTTTTTAGCCTTTATCTCAAAGACATAAACAAAGCAATATGTACGATCAATATACAATCCATACTAGCTAGAATGTCTGGAAAGTGCAAACCCACTGTGACAATACAGTGTGACTTCTGCTCCCGGGCCGAGGATGGCATCTGCCTCACCTCTCTCCAAGGCCTGGCCCCTCATCCAGGCTTCTCCCTCGGAGCTCTGGAAGTTTGTACCCAAGCAGTCTTTGCAGTTCAGGCATCCTGACCCACGGCTCTGCCAAAGCCTGACATGCGGAGGGGGACAGGGTGAGGCACTCCCTCCAGGGAGACAGTCAGTGTGGATACCTCTGGCTTTCTGAGGGTGAGAGCTGTCCTGTCCTACAGTCAGTAAGGCCCAGGGTTCACGCCAGGAAGTCAGACATGGAAAATGGAGTATAGTCCTGTTTGGGTGTAGAAAAATACCTCCCAGTGTAGGGCAGTTTGATCTGAAGGGCTCCAGCAGTGTGGCCTGGGTAAGTTTCCATTTCCAATCCCAATCCGGGGCCTCCTACCAGAGGGAGGGAAGGGCAACCTGCTAGCATATGGGCCTGGCCCCTCTCCCTGTGTACATGGGTTTCAAGGACAGCTTTCAGTGTTCCCATCCCCAAGTCTACTTTGTGTTCTCTTCATCCCAGCTCAGTGTGTCTTTCAATGACAGCCCTGAATACTGACTCCCTCCCTACATCAGCTTAGATTTTTCTCATTTACAAAACCCAATTTAAAGAACAATTTGCCAGACACGTTCTTACAGAAAATATGCTGCCAGGTGTCCCCCGCCCCTCCCAACCCCATAAATCCCTGATAAAGGAAAATAAAAATGTAAACTTTGGAAAGCCCGTACTCAAAGGTTCCTTTCCAGAAGTGCGCACGTAAGACCTCCCTGCCACCCAGCCCTTTCCGGGGAACCTGCAGCCTGGGCTGTGGAGGGCAGGCGTCTTGCCGCCCAGGGCAGAGCTAGCTGCCGCTGGACCATGGAGCAGGAAGACCAGATCCCCAGTACTCTCTAAGGCACTAACCCCGACATCAGAGACACTGGCTGGAGAGGCGTCCGAGCAGGCAGGGCTCTTGTTGATTTTGGTTGGTTTTTTTTTTTAAATATTTTTTTTCGTAAGATGTTAATAATCAAAAGTAGAAAATAAAAATCTACATTTCATTAGAATAAGATGTTATCATGGATACCATCTCCCATGACACTCTTTCCCCACCCTCCCCAAAGCAGGGCCCCGCCCTGTTATTTAAAATAAACAAAAAGCTTCATAAGTGCCAAAGGTTGATGCAGAAATAATTACCATTTTCTTTTTCATAAAAGTTATATACAAAATGGACCCCAACCAGTGAGGCCTCCTCATCTCAACCCACATTAATCAAGATCCAGACTCCGTTGGCATGTGCTTCCTCTGGTGTCTGCAGGCTGCATCCTCAGGCTCTGTTAAGGAGAGTGGTCCTGGAGGTGGAAGGGAGACAGGGCCACAGTCAGCCCCCCAGAGCAGGCAGAGGACAGGCCCATAAGGAAAGGGCTGGGATTGAGACCCAGTCCTCAGTCTCCCACTGACCTGGACTCCTTTAGGAAGGACAGATCCTTCATACCCACCCCAGCCCCTCTCCCTTTCTCTAGGTGCAGGTGTCCTGGTGCCTCCTACCTGAGGGCCTTCCAGCTGTCCTTTTCCATGTGGTTCTCAGGGCCTTCGCTTTCAAAGGAGGCGATGAAGAGAGCTAAGGGACAGGAAAGCCCCTGAGACCCACGCCCCCATGGGTGGACTGCACCTGGTTATCGCTCCCAGGAGTGTGACTAGGCCAGGAACAAAGGGACCATGACCTCTGGCTGGGCCACATGCAGTATCTGCCAGGAAGGGCGCTCAGGCTGCCTGTCCGGGGATTCTGGGTGCTTCCTCCTTTCGACTCTCTTCTATCCTCTTTCACATCATCAGCCCACCACCTGCCCTCACACACACCCCGTGAGCTGAGCAGCCCAAGGCCCAGGGTGACCCCGAGAAGGTGAGGGACCTGGTGGGGCATCAGGGCAACTATACATCTAGTGAGGGGGGAGTTCTGCCTGAGAGGCAGCCCTCACCTTCCTCGCTGTAGATGGGCGCCGTAAGCAGGTAACTCTGAATCTTCTTGTCCTTCTCAAAGGGACACTCTACCTGCGTCCATGTCATGAACTCATGGATTTGTCTGGATAGCTCCCAAAATTTCTGAAGGAGAGAAGACCAATAGGATATCCATCTGTCACCGTGAGTTTAAAACCCACAGTCAGGAACAAAGGACACAGATTCTGATCTCTGCCTGCTGCTCATTATCACTGGTTGCAGCAGGATGGAGACAGTAGCGCTGCATGGCTAACCCATGGCCATAGTGACTGGTGCAGCACCAGAGCCAGCAGGAATCCCCTATGGCCTTTCTATCCCGTCTCTGCCCATGTCTATGCCTCCTCTGTGCCAGGATTCAGGGAGGGCCCATCTGTGAGTGCAGCCTAAGGCAGCACCCAGCCACACTGCACAGCAACACCAAGAGGACAGGCACAACCTCACTTCTGTGGGCTGAGTAGGAGTCCACAACACACACCTACCCTTACCTGTGGAAGCCCAGGACCTCTATACCTCCTCAGGCGCCTTTGTCCTGACCACCCATCCTTGGCCAAGGGCCCTGAAACCCCACAGGTAGGTTCTTTACTTCTATCTGGAACTCTCTGCTGCTGCCTCATCTCTGCCCAAGTTCCTTCTTGCCTAAAGCCCTCCTCAGCCCTCCCCCCAGGTCCCCAGGGAGGAGGGATCTTCTCTGTCTTCTTGGAGGGGTCATCACCAGAACCAAGATCCTAGGTATATACCAGTTCCCTGTGACAACAAGCTTTGTGGCCAAGTCATCCCTCAAGAAGGGTGGGGGCTGTGCCTCATGCCTCATAGCCAAGTAACAGCCCAGACCCAGCCACTCAGGCGCATCCCACTCTGAAGGCCCTTCCAACTTCAGCAGGGATGGAAACCTGCAGATTCAGCCACAAGGCCGCTGCCTGCCACTGCCTGCAGCTGTGGTAGAATATCCAGTGTCCCGTGCTGGGACCACAAGGGGCGGAGCTCACCTTGAAGTTTATATGCCCATTGGGCAGGTGGTTGGTGTGAATTTTGTGCAGAAAGTAGATGTCCTTAACGAAGAGGTTGAACACAGGGATGACGATCTTCTCACGGCTGCTGTTGGCCATTTGGGATCTCTGCGTGGCCCCCTGCAGGGCCGTGCGGTAGTTGCAGAAGTTGCTGGATGGGTCCATGTGGTGCTAGGGGCACAGGGAAGACTGAGTAAGCCCCTGCCCACTGCAGAGAACAAAACAGTGGATGGAGAAGGCATTGTCCCCAAGTTGCCCAGGAGTCAGCGCAGGGAACAGTAGGCCCAAGGTGCCTGCTGAGCCCTGGGGCCTCTAGAGGGCTATAAAGAAGCCTCACACCCCTGAGAGTCATGTTCTCCCACCACTACCTTCTTTCAAAACCTTCCTTTGCTTCTCTGCATACACCGATGCCTCCCAGGCCCTACCAGTTCCACAGACATCTGGGTAGGTCTGAAGATGACCAGTCTGCCAGCCTCTGGGGACCCAGATGACTCAGGACCAGAAGTCACCCAAGGAAAAGGCCAGATTACTCAGGTCAGCTCCACTTTATTCAAACACTGTTAGCGGCTCTCCAGAGCTCACGTTAGGCCATGCTGCTCCACTTGAAGCATCAAGGCCACGGTCAGCTGAAGCACCCGTGCCCTAGGTGAAGGTGGAGGTCAGGTCCATGCACAGTCCATGCACGTCCGAGTGACAGTACCCTGTCCCTGCTGCTGGGGCTCCTCTGGCCAATGCAGGATAAGAGGGGGCTCAGGCAACCAGTACCTCCAAGACATCGAACTTGGCCGTCTTGACTTTGGACCATGTTTTCTTCAGCCGTGCCACTGGACTGAGGTTCATGCCAGCTGCAAGGACAGTGGGCATGGGTCAGGGCACAGCGAGGCAGGTAGCACAGGCAGCCCACCTGCACTCAGACACTCACAGATGATGGCCATCATGGAGTTGAAGTTGCCGATGTTGAAGCACTCTCGGGCCACATCAATGAAGAACTCCAGCATGCGCGTCCGGTGTTTCTTCTTCACCACCTGGAAGGTGGTATGACAGCCTCATCATGAAGCCACCAAAGGGCCACAGGGGCTGGATGGACCTCAGGACTTTGCTTCTAGGTCTGGGAGATCTGAGGCTGCATCTGCAAGGCCCAGACACACGCCCTACTGCTGCTCCATTCTCAGTCACAAAAGGGTGCTGTGAGAACCAGCAAAGCCACATAGGCTGGCAGGATGGCACTGGGCACAGGGGATACGCCATGGGAGGTCCCGGTCCCCACTGTCAGTTAAGGAATCGTGTGACACATGAGCATCCAGGCGGGGGCACCCCGCCTCACTGGGGTGGAAGGGGCAGCTCCCATGTCTGCCATGGGCACACTTACCCGGCACACTTCGGTGGCTACCAGCATGCTCAGGCAGTTGAACCAGTTGTCATAGGCCTCCAGGCTATAGGTCTTGGTCATGTCCCCTCGGCACTGGGGGACAAAGGTCACAGGGAACTCAGAGCACCATGGCTGGCCTGGTCTCCTAGGCCAAGGTTCAATGTGTCACAGCAGCCCAGATTGTGCCTGCCTGCTCCTCAGCTGCCCAGCGCAGGGCTAAGCTGGCAGTCCAGGCTGGCTCCTCTGCCCAGGCCAAGCCTGTACCCCTCCAGCATGCACCTCCCTGTATGGTCATCACTGACCCTGTAAAGCAGGCCCCAGAGGACCAGTGCTGCGTCCATACCATGAGTGACACATCAGAGGTTCTCGGGGTGCACTGAGTAAGTCCTGCCCCACCCTGCACAAATATGTTGGTCAGTGGTGCCAACTTGGGGTCCCAGAGTGCACCACGGGCCTCAGCTCACTCACCTTGTGGTTGTCCAAGGAGTCCATGTGGCTGATAATCTGCATCAGATCCTCAGGGTGAATGCTGCCAACCCTTTCCTGCAGCAGCGAAAGAGAGGAGACAGAGCTGCAGGGGCACATGGCAGAGGCCTTGTGGGGAGTGGGGCCTGCTCAGGGTGCAAGCCCATCTCCTCCTCCCAGGGCAGTCCTCCATACTGGGGCTACCGCAGGATAAACCACCTCACCCCTCCTTTACACAAGGCTGCCATGTTCCTCCAGACTCAATGCCAGGCACAGAGACACCACTGCTCCAGTGGGCACATAGTAGCCTGAGTGACAGTGACAGGGCTGGCAAGCCAGCTTCCCTATGACACCTAGTCTGACTGGCAGGTCTCTGCAGCACTGTGTTAAGAGGGATACTGGGGTCCCATGGTCCTGGCCGTCAGTACTGAGTGTGGCACACACATACCCCCACCCCCATTCAGAGCATTCAGCAGCACTGACCAGCTCAATGTGGGTCAGCTGCTGGGCCAGCACCAGGGGGTCACAGCACACACCCAGGATGTCCTTCTGGGCGGCTGGTGGCTTGGCCTTGAGAACAGGCCCTTTGTCCACGGCTGGTGGCCGATGTTTCTCCCGAAGCTCCTGAAGCTGGCTCCGGGCGGCCAGGGACAGCAGCAGGCTCTGTATCATTTGGGTGATGGCCTTCTTCACCGTGCCACTCTCCTGTGGGGGACAGGTGCGATGAGGTTGCTGCTGTGGGTGGCAAGGCCACTTACCACCATGGAGAAACACATCTCACCTCCAGGAACAGGTCTGACTCTGAGCCCATATCCCCCATTGAAACCTACCATGAGCCTTTGGGCCCATGATGACAGAGTAAGGCACAGCATGGGCTTCCTGCAGACTCCTGGAGAGGGTGGGCTCAGGAGTGCCCTGCGGGGCGCGAGCTGAAAGTGTGGCTTTCCGAGTGGCCAGCAGAGCTGCTTCTCACTGACTCCCCAAGCAGAAGGACTCACAGAATGGATCAAGGCATCGGAGGGACCTCTTCCCCAGGCTCTAACACCTTCTCAACAGGCCCCCACTCCAGACCCAGGGTTTCAAGGGCCGGGACAGTGTTGTGGTAATAACCTCACATGCAGAGTGCTGTGGGCAAGTCTGGCCCATTGCTTGCCAGTGGAACCGTTATCTGGGGTGCAACAAGATCCAGTGGAATCACCCTCTTGGGAGTGACAGAGAAGCATATATGGGGATATCTCTGTAGACCCCACCTTGTTAAATACAGAGCACACACTCAAGTGACCTGGCAAGGGGCTGAGGGGGACATCACCTCATCACACTGGGTGACACGGTGTGTGATGGCCTTCAGTTCGGCCATGGCCTTCTCGTCCTGGAAGTCATAGGGGAAGGCTTCTGTCCACTCCTTCAGGAGCTGCACAATCTTGGCAGAGAAGGACTTCAGCTTGGCCTGGAGCCACAGGGAACAGAGTGAGGTGTCACAGGCCGGAACAGACCACAGGATCGTAAATGATACATCAAAACCTACCCCCCACCCCAGGGCCCATGCTGGGCATGTGCCATACCTGAACCACCTATAAGACTCCTGTTTGTTCTCTATTTCCCTTAAAAAGTCAGCTTCAGTTGTGAATTAGTCTTCAAAAACCTACCCCATCACTACCAGGATGAAGAAAACCAGTTTTACTTGCTCTAACTAGACATTATCCATAAAAAAGCATATAGCATCCCATTAAATAAGAGACTCTCATCTGCCCCTCTCTATTGAAGACAGATTGGCAAGTAAGGAGGGGGCAAGTCCAACAGCCCCACCAGCTACTGGCTGGATACCTACCACCCCTTCTTCTGGTGGTACTAGGGTTTGAACTCAGGGATTTCTGCTTACTAGGTAGGCATTCTACTGCTTGAGCCAGCATCTTCTTTTGTAACAGACCCTGTTACACAGCTTCTGCCTGGCCCAAGCACTTGCCTCCACCACCTGCCCCAAGGGCTTCAGGGGAGAGTTGGGGCATTCTGACCATCAGGCCTGCCAAAGCCTGGCTCAAGCCAGGAGAGACGGCAATGGCAAACAGCCTTATTTGGTTTAAATATGAAATGTCCTCCACAGGCTCATGATTTTAACATTTGGTCTCCAGCTGGTGGCACTGCTTCTGGAAACATTAGTAAGTGAAACCTAGCTGAGAAAGAAGGTCCCTGGGGAGGATGTGTCTTTGTCCCTCCTGTCTGTCTGTCTGTCTCTGTCTCTCTCTCTCTCTCTCTCTGCTTCCTGTCCACCAGGAAGTGAAGATCAGTCTCTACCTCCATGATATTCTGCCCAAGTACATGAGACCAAGTGACCATGAACTGAAGCCTCTGAAAGCATGAGCTAAAATAAATCCTTCTATTCTTAAGTTGTTTCTGTCAGGTATTTGGCCACAACCAAGGGAAAGTAACACACTGGGCCACTGCACACTTTCACTATGAGCGGGTGCAAGCCTGAGGGCACTGTCACCTGACCCCTCCCCTTAGAGGTGACAGTGACCTAGGCCCCTCTGCCTTTTAACCAGACATAACACAAACTTCACCATTTCAAGAATGCTGGCACTGACCAAAAGCTGGTTGTCTGTGGGCTCTGCCCAGGAGCAGGTGCAAGTGCCATACCAGCCATCCCTTTCAGCAACCTGGGAGGAGTGAGACCCAAGGAGCCTCTCCCCAGGGTGCACCAGACTAGAGCCAAGCTGCTCTGTGCCCACTGGGCCACCAGCTGAGTCACGTGCTGTCCTGCCAATTTACTCAGCACTGCAGCTCTCCAAGCATGAGTGACAGAAGCTGGGAGACGAATGCAGTGTTCCCCCGGTGGCTTACCTTCTCAGGCCCTGCCTCCAGCTTCTGTCTCTGCTCCAGGCAGATCTGCCCCACCCGGGCTAGCAGGTCATGAGGGGGCATGAAGACCCGGGAGCTCAGGAGAAACGTGAAGATGTACGTCCTCTAGAGAAAGGAGACAGGACAGAGGGCCACAGGTGTGATCCCACTGCTCCTCTGGCCCAGGCCCTCAACCAAGGGTTGTGTGTACCTTCGTCTGTGTGGCTTTCTTCACCTTGTGTGCCCTGCTTCTGTCCACTGATACTGCACTCCTGCCCACCTGGAGGCACAATTCTGCTAGAATTCTCCAGTACCCTCTGTCCCACTCAGAATGGGGGCTCTCGGGGCCAGTTGCCAGCCCAAGATGCTCCCTGGCTCGTGATGGCAGGGCCTGGTCAAGCAGGGGCAGGATCTTGTTGGGCAAGACTTTGACTGCTCTAGCCAAGATCCAGTGTCAAACACTGTGGACCTTGACCCCACCTGCTCTCCCATCCCACAGCCCCATCCACTTGTCACTGGGATTCTCATAGACGGGACTGAAAAACAGAAGGGGCACAGCCTGTAGCCATTTCTCAGACCTTGTGTCTGGTATGGGTCAGTTCCCATGGGATCTTCACAGGCCCTGACCTGTGGACAGGATGGACTTGTGGGTAGGGTTGGCTGCTTGAGTTTCTTGGAAGGGGCCCTACCCTACTAACACCTCAGTCTGCCCTACAGGTCTGCTCAGGCTGGACGGCCCAGGTCCCTCCCATCTCACTCCCAGCTCAGAGAACAGGGATTTCCTTAGTCCAGCCTAAATACAACTGGACGGAGGCTGCTGGGAGCATAGACTGCCTGAAGCAGAACACAGGGACCTGAGGCCTGGATGTACCCATGCAAACAGCCTTGTGAGGAACAAGGATGCAGACAGCAGCCCTCCCCAGGGCATCTCCCCATCCTCTAAACTTCATGTGACCTGTCCTAGGTTGTGCAGCATGGGTTTTCAGGGTCTCAGCCAGCAGGTGGCACTCTTGGGGGTCCCCTTTATAAGCAGATAACTCAGCAAGTGAGGAAAGACACACAGGCTCACACCACAGGGCTCTCAGCCAAGGCAGGAGAGCCTAGGGACGCAGCTTGCGCCATCTCCAAGAGGTGTGAGCGAGGACAGCTGATGGGCATTCAGGGTTGTGCCAGGCTCTGCGGCACATAGGGTAAGGGGAGGAGAGGGTCAGGGGTTCTGCAGAGGAGCCAGTGCCCAGCTGGATGCCCCAGTACTATTTCCTGCTTTGCCACCCTTCTTCCTTCCTGGGAAATAGATGGAATCCCCAGGCACAATGTTCTGGGGACTACATTAGGTGACAGTGGGCTGAGATGACTCCCCACTGTGGCACAGGGACACTGTCCCACAGCCTGGTCAGGTTGGAGGGCCACAACCCTGCCCTGGGCCTCTTCAGGGCCTAGGGTCCCTTCTCTGGCTCTTCCCCTAGGCTCTCAGCAGCCATGTCTGTATCAACAGCACCAAAACCAGCCCCAGCCAGGCTCTCACAGGACTTATGGGATGGACAAAGAATGGGTTGGGGAGTAGACCATGCAAAGGCAGGTATTCCTAGAGCCCTGGGAGGGTGGTGGTGGCCTGACAGTGGGGAAGCAGAGCTGATCCCAGCACCATGGTTAGGAGGAAGCTAGTGAGTGGAGTGGTGGTTCCTCCTGCCGACCCCCATCGTGCTGCACCTGACAGACAAGGCTATCCATGGCCAACCACATGACTGCCCTTAGGAGGGAAAGGGGCAATGTACAACAGCCAGGACTGGCCTGCCAAGAGGATAGATGCTCAGCTCACAAGCTGGCAGTGCCACAGTTCCTAGAAGATGTCATCCATCAGAGCAGGGAATGTCTCACATGACAAGGGAATGCTTTCTCTGTTCTCAGAATGGCAGATACCATCTTGAAGTGAAGAGGGAGGGTTCGGGGTATTGAAGAACAGCCCTGCTTCCTGCCCTGGCCCTGGCCACTGCATGCCTCAAGGTGGGGTCATCCCTTCTGAGTTCTGGACAGTGAGGGTTTGTAACAAAGCAGCTTCTCAGCTCTGGGTGGGCTCTGGGAAGAGGGCTGGGCTGCCCTCATTGGGCCCCTCAACTGCCGGCCTTGACCTCTAAACTCCAATTCATCTCTTAGCACTGGGCCCTTTGTATCTGCTTCCTGTCCCCGGGTCCCCAGCATGTAACCAGTACAGCGCCACCCATCGGTGAACCTCGCAAGCATGCCGCCCAAGCCAGCGATCTGACACTCAGGGCGCAAGCGACCCGTCTCCGGGCACAGACTACCCCCCAACGCCGATGGATCCCGCACCTATGATGCACCGCGCACTGACGCGGGGTCATCTGTACCTGCCTGGGGGGGGGACGGGGCAGCAGGGAAGTCACTGCCGGTTCGCTCATGCCCGGGCTGGTGTGTGCAGAGCAGATGGTGCCCTGAGACACTGCCTGCCCCTCCCCTGCTGCTCTGTCCAGTTCTGCAGTCCTATCTGGGACTCCCTCCCCTCAGAAGCAGCCTCCCCCTGGAACCCCGGCCATCTCTCTCTGTTACCTCCCCTCCAAGCCCCAGACACTCACATCAGGGTAATAATCCACTGTGGGGACCAGGTGCTCCATCAAAGCCTCCAGGGACCCAGAGATGAGACGTCCATCTTGGAAGATGAGGTCCCCTGAGCCGCCACCGGCCCCACCTCCCCTCTCCCCCATGCCGGGCTGCACCTGTCCGCTAGAGCTGGGCCCAAGGATGCTGGAGAAGACCACAGATGTCTGGGGCATAGTTTCCTGGGAGAGAAGAATGAGATTGTGAGGCATCCAGGCACTTCCATGAGGCCCGTCCCAAGCAGCCTGCAGCCTGCACGCAGGCAGGGTGCAAGGTGAAATCCCAGCAGCAGCACCCAAGAAACTCCCTATCCTCCAAGGGTAGGGAGGGGGGCTGCTTGGCGGTCCCTCAGCACCTGCTGCACGTATGCCAGACCTCATGCCTGAGTGCAGCTTACCTCCTGAGGTTACGACCAAAGGAAGAGGAGGGACTATGGAGAAGCTGGGAGAAAATACAGGGAATCTGGGGGAAGGCAATGTGAATGATAGGTGTCACTGGCCATGCAGCTCCCAGAGATAAGAAAGGATCATTGTAGGCACGAAGGATGTGCCAAGGTCCTGAGACTGGTGTGTGTGGAGGGGATATGCAAGGACAGTGGTCTGAGGGCTGGGCCAACTGTGCTGCTGCTGCTTCTGAGGTGGGGCCAGGCTTCCAGCGCAAAGACAGAGGGAGCCTGCAAAGGAGGCAACTAGAAGCCAGCTGTGCTTTTTGCCATAATCCAGAGAAAGTCTATCAGGTTAGGGGACAGCAAGGAGAGGGGCTGACCCTGGACACTGAAGGACTGTCTCAGGCCTGCTTGGATCTCAGTTCAAGGTAGAACAAGAGGGTGAGGTATGAAGAAAGATCTGGAACTTTCTTTTGGCCATTCAGAATCAGAGATGCCAAGGAGATTAGAATACCTGAGCAGGTGCGGTGGCATCCTGGTGACTTGGTATCCCCTGCAACTATCCACCATGGCCTAGCCTACCTCACCCTGCACGTGAGCCTCTGTAGGAGCTCTTGTGACGTCGAAGAGTCTAAAGCCCTCTGGGCCTCAGCTTCCCCATGGACCAAGACAGCCAACCAGTGGGGACCAGGGCAGCAAAGCACCTGCTAGCCTGGGGCCTCTGAAGCTGGGAGTATGCTCTCCCTCCTGCTACCAGCAGAGGCCTCCCATGGCCTGTTTCACCCTCTCCCACCCAGAGGGGCAGGTGGGTCTGGGACACAGGTTACTGATACCAGGTGCAGGAGCCAGACCTTTCTGCCATGGTGGAGGCCACAGATAGCCTCGATGCACAGGCTCCCTGTCACTGGCAAGCAGGAGCCCCATGGTGCAGGCACAAAGCCACATTGCCCTCCATCAATGGGGGGCTCCTTATGCCAAGTAGAGCGATCTTCAAAAAACAGCAGAAAGGGCCCTACACAGCCTCCATTCCATGGCCCCTGCACAGCCCACAGGACTCAGTGCTAGCCCTGCCCACTGGAGCAAGCCCGAGAGCCACACTGGCCTCACTTTCCCCACTATACAGAGCAGACACTAGCCTGCCAGTAGAGGACCACAGCCTTCTGCTCCCCAGGGTCTTTAGAGAGAGCCACTTATCTCCCCATGACCCAGCACACGGACCACACCCCCATGAGGCTGCCTTGGAATTTTCTGGAGATCCTTTGCAAGGAGGGTGAGAACTCAAGAAAAGTTCTGGCACAAGGCCCCAGGCTCAGGAGCCCGTCCACTGAGGATGGAGCCATATCAGAGCGGTCCCCTAAAGGTCGGGCCAGCAGGAACCTAATGGCGTTGACATCTCACAACACATACCTTAGAGGCACATTCTCAGGCCCCACTCAGACACATCAGAAACAGGGTCAAGCCTAACGTCTATCTGTGTTGCAACAAGCCCTCCATGGATTTCTGCAGTTGAGGCAGAGGGTCCTAAATTGAGCACACCCTTTATTTTTCAAACAGAGAAATTGAGGCCCAGTGGGAAGAAGCTCAAGTAAGGAATCCCTAGGATCTTCCAGGCAGCCCAGGTGCTACCACTTCCGAGAAGCTTCCCTGGGTTTGTCCTGGCTACTGACCCACCGGGAGAGAAATGACCTACCATTCACCTCTGGGTCCTCTTGCAGCTCCAGAGTAATGCTCAGTGACCATCTGCACTCGGCCTCTCAGATGCCCGAGGCCCATGCTCTGTGGGCAACTCCCTCAAGAATGCACAGTTCTGGGTTCAACAGGTGACCAGTGGGTTACGACCTTGGCCAGGAAAGCCCCCTCACCCAAGCCCCTGGTTTTCCCTCTGCAGAAGCAGCAGGAGCTCTGGTCAGAAGGTGAGCTAACTCTCATACCCTCTGCTGAACCCCACTTGGCAAGACCCTGTGTTCAGCCTGCAGGGAGACTGACTCCAGAGCTGAGAAGACCCGGAACCAGTGGGAACCAGTCTGGGACTCTGGTATTCTGCTGTCAGAGAGGGGACAGAAAGCCTGGCAGGACTGAGCTACATTCCAGGAGGACAGGCCTAGGAAGGGCAGCGGGGTGCTGTTCCAGCAGAGCTCAGAACCCCCTCAGGCAATCAGCAAAGCCCACAGGGGCACGATGGAAGGACACACACACATACACATGCACACACACAGCAATAACCAAGGCAAAGTATTCAGTGTACACCATGACACTAAGTGTAGCTGTTGAATACCTCACTACTTGTCACAATAACAGCCCCACCCCAAAGAAAGGCTCAGGGACTAAGTCACCACCCAGGTACCACAGTGAGCTTGCAGAGGCCAGGATGCAAGCGAGCTAGTAGCAAAGGCTCCTAGAGGGAGGCCCAAGTCTCAGCCCAGCTCCGCTTCTCATGACCGTCAGGATCCAGGATACTTGGCCTCTAGGAACCTTAAAGATAGAGGGCTCATTGTTTCAGAGGTCTGTAGGGAGATCAAAGAGCTCCCGTGCCACGTTGTTGATTAGACCCTCATCGCCCCCCTCTACCCCCCATCCTCATTCAGGTGCTGGTTCTCACAGCCACGATGCTAGGTGTGCCCCCTATAGGCCATGTAGGTTCTGGACCCAGGAAGCCCACCCTGCACAGATGCTCTAAAGCCATGTATGGTACCTGAAATAGCCGGCCGTGTTTAAAATGCAGGATCTCAGCCCAGGCCAGGCCTGCTGGTAGAATCTGCATCTGAGTTAGATATGCAGGTGACTGGAATGTCAGCGAGCTCCCCTGCAGGCATTGTGCCAGCTAAACCAGGTGCCCTCACCTGTGGCTTAACACCAGACCACCTGTGAACTTCTCAAAGCCATTTTGCCCAGATCCCATCCTAACTGGTCTGGGGTTGGCCCAGGCACTGGCATTTTCCAAGGATTTCCAGGAGCAAACTGGAGCTTCAAGAAGCCTGGAAAGGCCCCTCCTCGTCAGCTGCTCCTGGCACTCCCAGCACCTTTGCCAGGCTGCAGGGGCTCAGTGAGCATGGGAAGCCACTGAAGCCAGGCAGAGGGACATGCAGCTGGAGTGGGCTCACCTTCCCCTCTGTCCTTGTCCAGATGGCAGAGTGTAGGGACCAGTCTCCTTGTACCTCCTCCTTTGTTCAGGCCAGAAGCAAGCACCTTCTAATTACAGATGAAATCGATTCAGAAAAATGCACACAGCAAGGCAGGGCCAGGTGACCCATGTCTCCTTGCAGATAGGCCTTGAAAGCTTCCCACCTCTTGCACCAGGCCAGGTGAACATAAGATGGGCTCTGGTCCACAGGCAGGAGCCCCCCCAGGCCTGCCTGCTGGAGAGAGAAAATACCTGGATTTACCTGGCTTTCTGGGGGCACCATGGAGGAAGAGACCTCCCCGTGTGAAGTGAGGTTTCCTGGTTGGCCAGATGGGAAGACCACACCCACTGCCGTGCAGGGTGAGGGTAAGCATGGAAGGCTACCTGGCAGAGGTAAGCCTTAGAAGCCCTTTGTAGCTGCTGGCCTGGATGACCTGCAGACAGCACTAGTGGTAGCTGGCCAGGCTGAGAGGCTTCCTATTGCTGCCCTATTCCCCCTCTCCCCAGCTCCCCCACCACTCGCCAGCCCTCCAGGCTAGGCCAGTAGGCCCACTTGGCATCTCTGCTATTCCCCAGAACATGAAGTGGCTTGGGGTCCTGCAGCCACCCCCTCATGGGACTCACACCTGCTACCTGCCACCCATCCCTGGCCCAGCACAGGTGACACTGCCTCAGGAAGCCTCCATGTAGCTGTGGCCCCCAGCCTTCTACACGAAAGTCCTCTCATGCCCTTGCACGCACCCCACGGGTGATATCTGACCCACCTCAGTCCTCCCCAGTGGTTGCTGGTGCTGGGCCCAGGACTACAAGAAGAGTCTGAAATGTAGACTCAGGAGACATGTTCTCTGTCTCCACATCCATGGTAAAGCCCCTGGCTGCTACGAGCCTCAGTTTCCTCAGCTGTAATTGGCAGTAGGGTTTCTTGTTCCTCCTCCCTGCAGGGCTGTGTGAGGGCTAAGTGAAAAGATGGAGGCTACTGTGATTGTGTTCTGGTATTGGTGCCAGATGGGCCTATGTGTCACGCACATCTGTGCTTTGCCTCTGTGGCACTGAAATAGCTCAGCACTAGCTGTCACTGATCCTGACCCAGGGCTTCTGACCTCAGAGACATCAGCACACTCCAGGCTTGAGACAGGCAGACCCGACCAGTCATGCACAGTGCAGGCCAGAAGCTGGGCATTGTAGGTGACACTTGGTAATTGTTAACACCCTGTGGGCAAACTGTGACCTACGGGACATGGGAGACAATAGGCAAGTTCTCCCTCAAAAGCGTCACAGAGCTCCCCCAAAGGCACCGTTGAGGCGGGCGGTGTAGGAACACATTCCCCAGATCCATGGACCCTGCTTCCCTGCCTCCCACTCCCCCGGGGACGGTACTCCACAATAAAATGCTCACATACAAGCTTTCACCTCAGCTGTGGCCTCTGTGGAAGCCAGGCCTGCAGGACAGCAGCAATCCTCTCATGTCCAGAATGTGCCTTTGCTGACGGCTCCCAAGCACCACCCCCTGCCACCCCAAACTCCCCATCCCCCACCCCCTGCCTCAAGACACAGGCCAGGCTCCCTCCGGCTGCTGCTTTGGGCAGTGAGAGCTAGGCCACACCGTCAGCCCTCCATGCTGACACCTCAACTTCACTGTGGCTGTAGGACCACGGAGGGAAAGCATGGGTTCCAGC